TGTCAAATAATCGTTTGAATTCTCATGGCGTTTGAATTTTGCTATAACATTTAATTTATGTTTTTATAATATTGTAATCACTTATCTTAATTAGCAGCATGGTAAAAATATTGCCACACATAATTTGACTACAGTGTTAGATCTTTTTGAACACAAAAGTAAATAACACATAAATATATGTACATCCACATACCAATAAAAACTTGCTTACTCACTAAAGTAAACTTAATTGTGTAGTCTTGGCCACCCACCAAGCCATCGAGCTCACGAGCAAACACTTTACTAGTTTTCAGGTGGTCACAACAAGTTTAGGAACGCATCTAGACATTAAAGAAGCTGCCCATTATTATATTACTAACATTTAACCCTACATTAAATCTTGGATTTCCTTAGGGTTAATCAAGAAGCGCGAGTCAAAACTATTGAAGTGTTGAGGGAATTCATCGCCAACTTCCTCCAAACAGCTACAGCAGGAAGGATCATATCGCCGCCTAGATCTAAAGTGCGATCAACTCAAAAAAATTTATGGCGATTTTACACCCAATAAATGCGAATATTTGTTTCTTCATGTTGTATGTCGTTACCTTAATATAGAAAGGCCCCATCTCACATCGTCGCTGTAATACATCGATGTAATCGATCGCAGTGTAACTAAGTAAAAATCCAAAATTCCCTTTTTGATTGATTATGATGCATTTCATCGAATTATAAGTCCCCACATCATTTTATGTAATAAAAAAATTTTGTCAGTTACGGCCTACGGTAAGGCTATGTACATTATATGTACATGTGATATATCTACCGTGTGCTTTTCCGGAAGGTTGTGGATGGTCCACCTCCTTTCCCTGACAGTTCGTTAGCTTTGCAATTGCTATCAATATTCCGACATAACCCGGCAACCAAATTAGTCGAATTCTATGTAAATATGTATGTGCGTTAAAAAGGCTACGGCATTCAGTAGGAGACTTCCCTTTGTCTATGTCTGAGTCGAAAGCTTTCAGGATTGCCTTCAAGCATGGAATTTTAGAGATATTTTCGATACAGTTACCCGAAATGTGGGGGTGGCCTGGGGCGTAAGCCGCTGGATATGGAAGTATTCAGCGAACGCCGAGATAGAGTTCTAAAATGCGGGACCAGGCCAAAACTTTGGCGTACTACTGACCTATTTGGGACCTTTTACCAGCCCTTTTAACGTTGTGCTTTGAAATTCGGCGTCAACCAAAATCTAGATTTTTTGTTTACTGGGGAAATAAATAAAACCAAATTGAAGTTTGCATCCAGCTGGTAGCATCATTCAAAAAATAGTAACTGAAATAAAATGTTGCTTGCGATGTGAATTAAGTGACATTTTATGCTTCGTTGATTCGCTTGGTGGCAACACCAGTACACTGTTGCAAACACAAATTGTAAATGCTATATGTATGTATAACAACAAAAATAAAAATCTAAGCGCTTTAAGTATTTCATACGCAATCAAATGAAAATATTTGGTAAGCGCCTTTGCAATTTTCCCAACCTAAAGTGCTTAAAAGTTACATAGACCCCCAATTGAAAAGTGAAATGATTGAATTATAAAAATGTACTAACGCATTTGAATTATTGTTGGTACCAATTTTGCTGCTGTTGTAACTACTACTACACATACTACATACTGTTGTTGGTTAGCCAATTGAGTTAGCGTCACTAATTGCTGGTGACGACGATAACGCCGACGGGAGGCAGCAAATGCGTAGGTGCTCGTACTAAAATATGGCTTACCACGTAATCAAGCAATTGTAAAGAGAAGAGAGAAGTGGCAAGCAAACTCCCACAGCCTTGTTGCACAGTGTTTCGATAATAGTGGGAAAACATTTTAATTTAAAAACGGCAATGGAAAATTAGTGAATCGAAGATTGTGGTATTAAAAATTCTAAGATGGGGATAGGGTACACAATCAAGTGACAGCTTCCGAGAAGGGGGTGTTGCAAACAGGAGACTTTGTAAATTCCGGTTCTAGAATAACAGGTTAGGTTGACCCTTATAATGAATGTGTTGAGCGTCCATGATCTTTGGACGGTTGGACCGCTCATATCACCTATGCGTAGCAGTTTATATGAAGTGTCTACAAAGCTTTCATATCCTCTCTAGACATAGTCCACGATCCTTTGCCTTTCAGTAGAAATGTTGCTTGAACCTTAGACCGCTAGCTCTGAATACCAGTTGGCTCCTTCTTTTTATGCCGATCCGAATGAAAAACTCAGGCTAAAAACTGTAACGAGTTATAAATTGGTTTAAAGGAAGGATTCAGATGCTTAAGGAGTATGAAAGACTCAAATAGTATTGACTAGGGAGTAACATTCTTTCATCGATAGTTCTGAAAGTCGGTTAGGAAGTTTCTTTGGACTATAACAAAAGCTCTAAGTCAACGTCAAGTCTTCATTACTTCATACCAGTCTATTCAAAGAGATGAAAATATACCATCCAAATCGAACAAAAGAGTTTCACTACCACTGGAAAATAAAGGAGGATTTGGTTAACGAGATCTTAAACCCTGGACCGAAATGTCATCGAATGACGTGAGACTGATGTTTAAAAAACGGATTTCTACTAACTGAGGAGTTCTAAACATTAATTACCGACTGGTGCCCCAGCGTGCATCTTAGGCCCATCTAAGACAGCCATCTCCGCCTTTACCAGAAGTAGAACTCTTAGAGATAGGAAGAATATAACTTTAAATAAGGTCGTAATCAATACTGACACCGAGGTGAAATATTTAGGTCTAATCCTGGACTCCAAACTCTGTAAATGACTCATGTTGTTACAAACACATATGTCCGAAGACAACACTGGAGGTAATTCGAGTCAGTATATATCAGGCGGCCAAGTGCGCTCTCAAAAACTTCACAAGAGATTGCTTTGGCAAAGGAAAGGTTTTATTGTAGACATACGCTTGTTCTTCGCCAAGCTATAGTAATCTTTAAATACCAATTGCTGATTTGCCTATTAGACAGACTAGCGCTTAGCCAAAGTTCACTTTCCAACGCAGCGATAAAGGAGCGGTAGCAGAATACCGATTAATGTACCCATTCAACTGTCATCATGCGGAGAATACCTAAGAAATACGCTAAATTAAAAAATGACCTTAAGCCTATGAGCGGACCCCTCTGCGATTTCGGTAAGAGCGAATTTAATTCGAGCGAATCCACTCGACATTCCAAATGCAGGCACTTCTCTGCCAAAGCGATGTCGCGCGAACAAAAATCGGGTCCCGTGAATTATGGTTGCGTAAATTAAGACCGCAATGAAAAAATTTAACTATACCGCGCGGGAATAATTCGCGTTGACAAGAGAAATTAGACCGCGCAGTTTTGAACTGTGAACCGCGCACTGTGAAAAGTAAAATTAAGCCGCAATGAAAAATTGAATTTGGAAATGTTTTGTTATTTGTACTGTCCAGACTTTAAGAAAAGGTGCGAGTGTATATTGACTGGCAAAGGGCGTTAAGTATAAAATAAAATAATATTTGGTGTTTATGTTACCAGCAAACCTTAAATCCATAATCTTCAGACTATTATCCTCAAATACTTAACACACTCAGTCAGGGCAATCGACTCATGGAGGTGAATCTTTTTGTTGAACTTTACTTCCAAAGTTTGTATCACATTTTTTCAACACTGAAACACTGTGCGCTGTTTGAAGCACTTTGAAGCCATCTTATTTTACTGGTTATACTCATATTTTGCCATGCAACAATTTGAAGCTTAAATTGTCTATGTCCTAAACAACAGCACTGTCAACTTCTACAACTATAACAAACAATGAGCACAAACAACAATACTATTTAATCTAAAACAAAAGCGCCAGCAAAGTCATTGCCTTTCTTATAAAAGACACAACGCGCCACAGCGAAGTATTTAGTTACGTGTTGTAGTGCGTCGCGGTAGAAGTTATTCGAAAAGTTACCTAATTCGAAATTACCTGCAAAATACAAAATTTTACAAAAATACTCATTGCCACATATGATTCCGCGCGCGTTACGTTTGTTCTAAAAATGTTTCGTTTTCTAAATTGCGTAACAGCACCTAAGACTATAACAATAATTTTGTTACTGTTTATCGCGCCTCCAGCCCGTGCCGCAGATCGCGCAAGTGTTACATCTTTTACGCCAACAGATTCTAAGTACTCTTCATCGTCTGGTTCAGGTGCTTCGACACAGGGAGAGAGTCACGTTAAAAGGAATATAAAAGCAACAGATTTATCGGCTTCGGGCTCAGCAACAGCAGCAGCGAAAAGTTATGATCCACCACCTGAATTTTATAGGTGGGTTTGGGGCTTGGGAGAATGATTCTAATTATGTGTGTGTGAAAATTTTAAAAAGTGAGAAATTTTCGAGTTCTCTTAACTAACATACACCTATGTATAACAAAGTGGACTTAATACTTGGAAGAAATGCTCCATTATAAAATATTTTCTATATAAATTAATAAAAAAACGATGTATCAAATCGAACGGAATATTTGTCATGCGCCCCATTAAATTAATGTTTCAACGTCATCTATGTACATGCCGTCACTGAGTGGAAGATCGACCTATCTCGGCAGACAGTTCTAAAACGCCCTATCTCAGAAAAATTTTCAAGAACGCCCTACTTCAGAATTTGATCAAAGAACGCTCTATTACAGAATATTATTTAAAAACACCCTATTTCAGAATTTGGTTGTGGAACACCCTATCTCCGAATTCGGTTCAAAAACGTCCTATCTCAGCTGAAAATACATTGAAAATGTGCTGAGTTAGGGCGTTTTTGAATCGGCAGCTGAGATGAGGCATTCTTCAGTCAAATTCTGAAATAGGGCGTTCTTCAATCAAATTCTGAAGTAGGGTGTTCTTGAAAAGTTTTATGAGACAGGGCGTTTTCGAACTGGCTGCCGACATAGGTCGATCTTCTACTCAGCTATCGATATGTAACTATGCAAACCCACACACGGAGAAAAAAATCAGTGAGACCCGGTACGACAAACCGGATTAACTACGGATTATCGGGAATTGCGCCAAAAATATGTATCTTAATGAAAAAATTTTTACCATATTGTTTTGCATCTCTAATTTTAACTATTTAATTTTTAATTTGAGTATCTATCATGGCGTTACCGAAAATAACACGACTGATGAAGTAGCTAGTCGTGATCAAGAGTGTATCTGGCCTTTCTGTCCGGTTAGAAATTTGTCAGCCATCCTAACCTACCCTTACATTTGGGGCATCGCAACTGCCTAAAACTCAAGAAATAATTGTTCAAGAGAGCAACCAGTTTAAAAAAGATTGTTAACGAAAATAGAACACTTCTGGTAGCAACTATTATATTCTAACATATACCTCGAAATCTTTTCTGAATCAGAGCTGGGCGATAAGGATTACGATTACTAAACTATTAGGGTTGCAGTAATCCCAAAAAGCTAAAAAAAAACAAGATTACGATTAAAGTAATCCTTCATCGAAAGCACTTAGATTACGATTACAGTAATCGTGTTTATTAAAAAGATAAAATTACGATTACTTTAATCGTAATCCAAGTTCGTTCGATGAATTATTACTTTAATTCTAATCCTGTTTTTTTTTTGTTATAAGGATTACTGTAATCGTTCCTAAGGATTACTTTTATTAAATATCCATACAAATCACTGCCAATTATTTTATAGAGTGGATTTTAGTGAGAAAAAAGACAATTTATAGCATACCGCAGCATATAGTACCGTGGTGAACATTTACATTAACTAAGTATATACTAAAACAAACATACATTCAATACTTGAATTCAGTATTAGCCATTAACAATAGTAATTTTTCAAAAGTAAAATCAGAAAGAGCGTGTCGACGTGGACTACTTTCAGCAACGGATACTTTATATACCACTCCCGACTATAGTCAGCTTCGTTCAAATATCTGAAATGTTGCTCACTTATGACATGTAAACGGTTAGTTTGTCCACTATCCTTTCGGTCAGATGAATCGCAAGTTTTTTTTTATAAAAAAAACAAACAACAAAAAGAGATTTGATACGTAATATAAGAATTATTTTATTTATAATAAAGTAGATCTTGCTCACTCCCTTAGCTGAGTGTGTGAAATTTCTGCGCGTTACATTAGGTGTAATTTATTTCAATAAATTTGAACTTACTTAAACTCAGCCAAAAACAATCTAATTTTCTTTAACCCTCTTCCAAATTTTTAAAAAAAAAAACCTTCTTAAACCTCTTTCGTGTGATTCATTTTCAATTGCCCTATAGCAGTGGAAAATAAAACTAGTCCAATTTGAGTTCTTAAATAGGTGGCAACCCTACTACATGTAGTTTATAAATCATGCCTTCTCGAACCAATAAAATTGGTTCCCATATTTTAATGAACCTTGAACTTTACTTAACTTATTAAATAATTTTAATGGCATTTAATTTTTTTAACAGGCAGCCCTCTTCAAACACCTCAAACCCAAAAGTTTTCGACACTCTGTCATTTGGCACTTTAACTTGTGTATAGATTAATTAAATTCGACTTTTAAAACTGGTCGCAACCCTCTCTAAATTATTTACAAACAACAACCGCATTAAACCTCCCTCGTCTGACACCAAATTAAAGTAAATTTAACAGGTGGCAACACTCCTGCATATAGTTTAGAAAAAAGACCTTTCAACGGCCCTTCGATTGTTACCCATTGTAAAATAATTTACTTAAATCAATTGAATTTAATTTTTAAACTGGTTGCAACCTTTGTAAAAAGCCTCAATAAAAATCTTTCTTTTATGCCCCATATTAAAATTTTTCATATAGATCGCGAATAATTAATTTAAAGTAAACTTTTCAAGCAGGCACTAACGCTTTTCTAAATATTTTCAAACTACAGTGCTATCTGGGTCGAGTGAACTAATTAATTCAAGACCAGTTCATAGAAAACAGATTGTTCACTATATCCAGATTGAGTTTTTGTTCTTTAAAATCAATTTTATTGCGCATCTTTATTGTGCGTCTTTTAAAGTTAAATTTTTAAGAACTCTGAAGTGTCGTCTTTCCCGCAGCTAATGCCAACACATATTTCCTGTTGTTGTTGTATCGTTGTCGTCAAGCTCTATAGCGGTAGACCCAGGAAGCGTGAAGCCTCGATGGGGTCTGTCCATAAGGCCAGACACATTAGCAGGGTGGGGTTCAGTGGGCATGCGAAGAGATGATGCGAATCATGGAGCGTCTCTCCGAATGACGGGAATTCATTTGGCACATCTGCATTTATTCTGTTCAGGTATGAGTTCAACCTGCTGCAGTAGCCCGATCGAGGTTGGGCTATGTGGTCCGAGTATCCCGAGGCAGACGAAGCTCTGTCTCGTCCACGTCAGGTGGTTGCGTGCCCAGAACGACATTCACAGGTCGAGAGTCTATATAGCTCGGGACTGGCTCTCTTTGAATTTCGTTCAAGGCCTGTCGGTAAGTTGTTGGGTTCAGAGATAGAGATAGTTTTATGAACCCCGGACTTCGTCCGTCAGTCCATATAGATGCCTTCTGATGTGCCGTGGTGAGGGTTCTTCCGCAATCAGATGTCTGTTTGGGTGCTAACATGATAACACCCTACTAGGAATTGCTTGCAGAGCATTGTGTTATGCTCCTTAATCGGGAGCATATGTGCCTCGTCGCGCAGGTGAAGTTGCGACATCAGAAGGAATCCTGTCGCTGTCTGAGTGCCGTGTCTTGGCAGGTCTGCAGCTTCATCCACTGCGTCCTACTAGTCCCCGGTAACCACACAGGCGCTGCATAGTTCAAAACCGGCTGGCGAATTGCCATGTACGTTGCCAACAACGTTTCTTTGTTTGCCGCAGGTGCTGCCGGCTAGCGACTTGAGGACTTTGTTGGGGCTTTGTACTTTATTGACAATTGCGGTTGTATGCGCCGAGAAGGAGAGAATACCTTCGAAGGTTCTCTGAGGACCTTCGGGTTATTCAACGTCGGAAGTGGTTCGTCATCGACGAGAATACCCAGTTGCAGTCTGACCTCCTTCGTCCAAGTGGTGAAAAGCGTTGCTGAGGATTTTGTAGGGGAGAGGGTTAGGCTCCGTGCAGTGACGAAGCGAGAAAGCTCGGCGAGATAACCATTATTGAGCAATCGTCAGCATAAGAGACAATCGAGACTACCTGTGGTGATTGAGGGAGCTTAGAAATGTAAAAGTTGAACAGTAATGGGAAAGGACACCACGCTGTTGAATTCCCTGTTTTATTCTCCAAGGTTTGCTCAATTTGTCTCTAAAGATCACTGACGAGTGTCGACCACTCAGGTAATTCGCCGCCCACCGTTTGTCTTCTAGTAGCGTTACTTGAATAGTTCTCTCACAGGGGGGTTTCGGTTAAGGCCACGAGTTATCTGGCTGGTTATGGCGTCAAGTGCTGTTGTTTTGCTGTGCACTTTACGGAACCCATGTTTATGATTCGCTGCGGTTCAGTAATTTGTATAGTGCGGGAGTAGAAGGGTCTCTAATGTCTTCGTAACCGGGGAAAGGAGAGCTATCGGGCGATAAGACTCTCCTTTGTTGGACGGTTTCCCCGGTTTAAGCAGTGGAACCACTCTCCCCGTTTTCCAGATGTCTGGTACGATAAGAGTGGCCATAGACAGGTTGAGGACCTTGGTTAGATAGTCCACTCCCGCAGGACCCAAATTTTTGAGCATCAGCATGCAAATTCCGTCAGGTTCAGTTGCTTTGGAGACTTTCGCTTTCCCGATGGCTATCCTTTCCTCGTCGCTGCGGAAAAAAGAGGCGAACTTGGTGTTAGCAGTATGTGCAGCCTTCTGGTCACCCTACGTTTGGCTTTGTCCGCCTGAGGATGCAGCATGAACTGTCGGCTAAAATAGCTCGCGTATCGCTCCGGGTCGGACGAAGCGTGGTCGCCAAAAGATATCTCAACTCTGTCGTCATACTTCGTCGGATTGGACAATGACCTCACGGTTGACCAAAGCTTGCTCACACCAGAGGCGAAGTTACAAATCTTCAGATGGTCTTCCCACTTCACTAGTTGCCGAATCTCCGAGTTAAAAACCCCTTATACGGGGATTTACGGGATCGGCCTGGCGAAGGGATTATCCTTTTTGTTATTAAGTTTTTCGTTACAGTTTTGAATTTGGAATGAATTGGTTTTAAATTTTGTTCACTCTACAAAGACTCAAAATTGTTCACTCTATAGAGTGCTCAATAGAAAAATTTTCATGTTCACTCTTTCGAGGTGTTCGTAGCATCGGGTGTTCACTCCAACCAGATACTACTGTACAACCTTTTTAAGCCTCTTTCGTCTGACGCCAATATTTTAATAAAGATTTCAAATAAATACTTCCCTTAATTCAAGTAGAATTTGACTTTTTAAACCGGGCGCGGCCCTCCTTCATGAGTATGGGATGTGCCACACCCCTTTGTCTAATCGAGATAAATCTATCCTATATTTTAAGTTAGGCTAAATAACGGCGGTGTGCGAAATTTCATGATGATCGGTTGAGTAGTTAAAGCGTGTAAGTGTAGCAAACTAACAAACTCGCTTTCGCATTTATAATATTAATAAATAAATAAATAGGATAAGTAGTATTAGTACCGTCAAAGCCATAAAATTCTTCACTTAGCTCCGGTGAAAAAACAGCCGGCTGTTTAGGCTTCACTTGCTTCCGGCAACAAAGTAAAAATCTCACCAAAGCGACTGCCACTCAGCGATCGGACTTCTACCATTGTGGTAGATCTGTCACTTTTTTGAGCATCTACCACTCGAGGTCTGAGATCTGCCATATATTCGCGGTTTTGAGTAGTTTTATTTTTGCTTGACATAATTCTATTAATTTTAAGAGCAAAAATTCTCCAACACTAAACAGTACATGGTAACAAAAATGATATAATACAAGAATCCGCTATGCCGACGACGATGAAATTTTTCAATTTAAAGTAAACAAAGCCGAATGGGAGGATAAAATAAACTGTAAACTAGTAAATTTTCTCGGTAATCAATTTTTCGACAGAAACGCGGTTTTATTGTGTTAAATTGCAAAATATATGATTTATAAAAATAATTAATAGCGAAAATGTTAAAAAACCGGTGATTTTTGTGAAAATGTTAGCTGGAACGTGCCACATTTGTTCGCTACTTCGTGATGTGATAAAAGGAAAAGCTGGCTGCACTACGCAAGGTTGTAGAAATCTCTTAAAATATGTTCGAAACATTTCTTAATATGGAAGGAACTGCTTTACACCGTCAAGGAAAAAAATTTCCAAAACTCAACGCAATTTTTGGCAACATCAATCTTGCACTTTGTTATACTAAAGTTAAATATGTTTTAGAGTCTAATTAAAAAGTTTGCCATTTAGTTGAAACGTTGTAGATTTTTTTTAATTTTTGAACAAAGTTTGATCCAAGCCCAGAGATCTACCACATTTTTTTGCAATCTACCACATTTTTTACCAGATTCTACCACACATATTTTTTTTACAGTCCGAATACTGCTGCCACTCCTTTCAATAACTGAAGACTGTCTCCTTGTGCCACCTTCTTAAGTTTGACACTTAATGGTACTAAAGAAGGTATGAGACATCCAAAGAGTATATTTTGCTCTCTTTGCACTTGTTGGTGATATGATTTTGCAGTATTCATGCAAGTACCGTAAGTTTTTTATCATGAATGAATATACGAGAAACGGCATCAAACAACGAGGACCATCTCGTTACTACTGGAACTATCAAAGCCGATCCCAAAGCATTTTTGATAATTTCCGAAGATTTTGGCAGATTGCTCTTTGTCCAAAGTTAATTGCATTTTTTGAAAGCCTCATTGAAAGTAATTTGGAAGAAAGCATTTTTTAATTACGACAACCATAATTTATTTATGATTAAGGCATGGATATAAATGCAATAAAAAATAAGAAATATGAGCATAAAAATTTCTAAAGAGCGTGGAAAGTAGAAATCATAAGTCGTCTATTGGTGGATAATAAATCATAAGAAATAGAGTAACATTGATAATGACGCGCACGTTGAATTATATAGCATTTATCTTTCGCAAATTTATAGAATTATTTCGTTTAAGATTACTCAAAGAATTGTAATTTTAAATTATTGTAATTAGTCATCGAACGAACTTAGATTATGATTGCAGTAATTGTAATTTTAAAAAAGTTGAATTTACGATTACTGTAATCGTAATCTAAGATGCCTTCGATTAACGATTATCGCAATCCTAATTAAAAAATTTTTAAAATTGCGATTAAAGTAATCGTAATCCTAGATGCAATTGATTAGACATGTAATCCTGTTTTCTGTTTCTGATAGTCACCCTAAATGATAACTTTGAAAATGGTAAATTTTACGATGCATAATTTTAGGCATTTCATAGATCGAAATGAGAATAAAAAAGTATAACAGGAATTACATCTTGATCTGCCAAAAAGTTCACTTTATTTTATAGACTACGAAATATTCATATTAAATAATCAAGCAAATATTGTTGTTAAATGTGTTTCTTTCTCTTTTTGGTTTGCTCAAAATTCAAAAGCTTTAAGCCAACGAAAATTCCAGTGCTTAAAAAACTTAAAAAAAAGGGTTACAAAAACATGAAAGCCTACAGAATTTACGATTTTCACCACAATCCTATGCAAGTTAGATAAAAGTGAAAGTTGGCAGACATTCAAAAATGTAAAGGTTTACAGCGAGGGAGATTTTGCATTAACTACTGCAAACAAACAAGATGTTATGTCCTCTACAACCGAACGTTTTAAAAAGCTCAGGTTTTAAAAAATTAAAAAACACTACTTTTCATGAAAAGTTTTTAAATTCAAAAATTTTCGAGAATTTTTCAGTTTAAAAGAATATTCCCATTTTCTTCTTAAATTAAGGTAGTGCATTTTAATTATCCTCATAATATTTTTTGTTTGCAATTTTAATTAATTTTTGTTTTTTTCGCGAAACTTCCGATTGTTTAATTAAAAACCGATTTAAGTGGATTTCTATTTTAAAAGGGTATAAAAAGTAGTCCCAAAATTCAAGCGTATTTTGCGCAGGCTGAAGGGTATTAAAGGATTTACGAATGACCAGCAAAATAAAGCATGAAAGCATTTACTAGCAAAACTACCAGCGCAAATACCGCTAAACAAATTTTTTGAAATATTTCGGCATAACACCAACCCCAAAAAAATAACAACAAGGCGAGCTGCAGTGAAAGCTAACACCTTAATGCCTATTAGATAGAAACACTAGCAGGAGTTATGTGGCATGTATCTATACTCGTGCAACTAGATAAGTTCCTCAAGCCAACCATATGTTGAACGTCCAGTTACAGTTTCCAGAAAGGAGTTGAATTCCAGCAATTTGTCGTTTTCACTTTTACTCTTTCTTTATCATATTCATTGTTGTTAATTTTACTTATAATCCCCTGTGCTCAACAAAAAATTTAAGGGCTAGAGCAACTTCTTCTTCTTCTTTTTTGGCGCTGTAACCGCCTAAGCGATTTTGGCCGAGTTCAGCAAAGCACGCCAGTCGTTTCTCCTCTGTGCCAACTGACGCCAATTGGAAACGCCAAGTGAAGCCAAGTCCTTCTCCATAGAGCGTGGTTTTCGTACGTCGAGAGAGGACTTTACTCCTGAATTGCCTACTCAGTCCAAAGTAGCACTTGTTGGCAAGAGTGATTCTACGTTGGATTTCAATGCTGACATTATTATCGGTGTTAATGCTGGTTCCCAAGTAAACGAAATTCTCTACTTTCTCGAAATTGTAACTGTCAACAGTGACGTGGGTGCCAAGGCGCGAATGTGCTGACTGTTTGTTTGATGACAGGAGATACTTCGTCTTGTCCTCGTTTACCACCAGACCCATGCGCTTTGCTTCCCTATCCAACTTGGAAAAGGCAGAACAGACTTCGCGGTTTTTGTTACCGATGATGTCGATGTCATCGGCATAAGCCAGCAATTGCACGCTCTTGTAGTAAATTGTTCCTGAGCGGTTCAGTTCTGCAGCTCTTATTATCTTCTCCAACATCAGATTAAAGAAGTCACATGAAAGGGAGTCGCCCTGTCTGAAACCCCGTTTTGTGGCGAACGGCTCGGAGAGGTCTTTTCCAATTCTGACGGAGCTGGTGGTATTGCTCAACGTCATTTTACACAGCCGTATGAGTTTTGAGGGGATGCCAAATTCAGACATAGCGGCGTATAGGCAACTCCTTTTAGTGCTGTCAAAAGCGGCTTTAAAGTCGACAAATAGGTGGTGAGTGTCGATCCTTTTCTCGCGGGTCTTTTCCAAGATTTGGCGTATTGTGAATACCTGGTCTATGGTGGATTTGCCAGGTCTAAAGCCACACTGATAAGGCCCAATCAGTTCATTGACGGTGGGCTTCAGTCTTTCGCACAATACGCTCGATAAGACCTTGTAACCTATGCTTAGAAGGCTGATCCCGCGGTAGTTGGCGCGAATGGCGGGGTCACCTTTCTTGTGGATTGGGCAGAGCACACTTAAATTCCAGTCGTCGGGCATGCGTTCATCTGACCATATTCTGCACAAGAGTTGATGCATGCACCTTATCAACTCCTCGCCGCCGTACTTGAATAGCTCAGCTGGCAGGCTGTCAGCTCCAGCGGCTTTGTTGTTTTTCAGCCGCGTTATTGCTATACGTACCTCGTCATAGTCAGGCGGTGGAACGTCGACTCCGTCATCATCGACTGCGGGCTCGGGTTCTTCTTCTCCACAACTTTCTGTGCTGCTGCCATTTAGTAGGGCGGAAAAGTGTTCCCTCCATAATTTAAGTACGCTCTGGACATCAGTTACTAGGTCGCCATTATTGTTCTTACAGGAGTGCGCCCCGGTCTTTAAACCTTCCGTAAGTCGCCTAACTCTCTGGTAAAATTTTCGGGCATTCCTCCTGTCGGCCAGCATTTCAAGCTCTTCGCACTCACGTATTTCTGCCTCTCTCTTCTTGTTGCGGCAAATACGTCTCGCTTCCCTCTTCAGATCCCTATAGCGGTCCCACATAAACTCTCATGTCCAATGGCAATTCAAAAGGAGTAAGCACTCTCTCCAGGCTCTGCAAACTGCGAGTCCGTCTTTTTAAGATAAGAGTATCTTAAGCAAAGTAAGGCAGCCTTTCTCTACTTCAATGATTCCAATATTTGATCCACAAATAATCAATCCTAAGTTTGTCTGTTGTCTGTTCTTAGGTTATAGTTCGTATGGCATACTTCCATATCTGATTAATGTTCCCCTAATTTTTTTTTTTTAATTTTCCAGAGGACCGGGCTCAACAAGCCAAACATCTTCCATTCCAAGCTCCTCTGTGACATCCCCTGGTGCACCATATCACAATCGCGACAGCGCTACATCCAGCTTCGTCTCTAAACCCATAACTTTTCCAGACATAATTGGGCACAAAAAGCATAACAGCAACGATCCCAGCCAGCAGCTCGCAAATTCATTCAACAACTGGCAGAAGCTGCGCGGACAAGGCGCTCAGGATAGGATCAGTGTGAGTAAGTGCCAAGACATATATGTTCAAGTGTTCAAAGTCAATTTCTGCCACTACAATATTCTCACTTCCCTCTTTACGTCACTGTCAGAACCCTTCGGCAACAGCGAAATACACGGCCTAACATCAGGCTATTCACATAGCAGTGCCGGTGGGAGCGCGCACCACAGCTACCCAGAGACGCGTCCGTACGCAGATGGACACTACATCGACTATGGCCAGCCTCATGCTGGCGGTCACTACGGTGCCAGCGGACATGGCGGCTACTATGGTGGTGCCAACAGCGCTGAAATCGGCGCTATACCCTTCGATATTTATGGCGGTAAAGGCAGCGGTCAATATGCGGGTGCGGGTGGTGAGTATTCATACACATACCCAAACGCACCACATGAGGTACCAGCGCACAAGGGACCGCACGAGCTGTCGTCGAAGGCGCTGTTAGCCAAGAGCTTCCTCATACCACTCGCCACAGCGGCAGTTTTGGGAATTGCGGCAGCGTTGGTGAGTAATCCGCTACTGCTACAATTGGGTACGTTCTCCGGCTTGCCGGCTGGAGCAACAGTTGTGGGCAAACGACGAAGACGGCGACGAGATCTGGCGGCTTTGAAAGCGACGCAGGCAGGATTAGAAACAAGTGATGAGTCGAAGACTGCCGAGACAGCTGCTGCTGGTGCACACATCGCTTATCGTGGACATCGTCCGGATCGTGGCATGGCGCGTGTATAGCTAAGAACGTATGTGAAAGGAAGAATGCCGGCCAACATGTTATGCTTAATTTAATTTTCCACCTTTTGACCTGCCGGCGGTAGCAACAGTTAAGCACATCAATGTGATTGAAACGAAGTAGATTGTATTGTAAGAATATACAGACAAAACGGGTAGTTAGGAAAACTACCTACTTAAATAAAGACATAACAAAAAATGAATGAACATAAAAATATAAAAATATTGGAGATTAAATAAAGATAATACACACACACACTAATATACGTGCATACGAAAGATCTAAATCTGTTGTCATTTAGTTGATTTGCTAAGCGTATTAGGGAAAACTTCGTCTGTTATTCGAACTAATATCTCATCTTCTTTCTGCTAAGACTTACTGCCAGCGCAGTACGGCTTAGCTCTTCAATATTCACATAATTCTAAGAATTTCTCTTAACTTGATAGAAATTCTTGTTAGCATAAGCATGTGGGAGCTTATATTAGTTAGACGTGGGTTTTCTTGTTGTTCCACTAGAAGAAGCATAGACTTACCGCAAAATTACTTCGTCGGTTGTCATGTCAACAATTAACGTAGCGCGCTTTCAGGCTGAATGTGTTGCTATTCAAGCATCGGATGACGATGGGCGCTGCATGAATATACAGTAATGGTCACAATATTGTGATGTGTTGAAACTGAAATAAAAAAATATAAATAATATGAATAAAACTATATTTTTTCAAATATGTATTTAAAATATTTATAGTCATTAATTTTAGTTTCCTTAAATAACTTTTTTTAAAGAGAAATTTTTAAACTATCCATACATAACGAAAAAAAGTCCATTAATTCATATGTATGTATGTATGTACATATATCCTCCTCAGCCACGACTTCGCCCATATATGTATGTAAGTGTAAGTATTTAATTTCAACCTTCCAACTTTACAATACATTTCAAAAGTGGGCTATAAAAATAAGAATGAGTCCGCGTAGGAAGTGAATCTTCTCATGATACAATTTTGAATGGTTCCATATTCCTGATAGTTGGATCAACTGAATTTAGCATAACATAAGATAACATAGCAAACACTGGGTTGAGTATGCTTAAAATGATGAAATCACAAAACAAGAAATACATTTTATGTATGTGACCTATTCCATCTCAAATCTTACAAATCGAAATTTTTTCGTTATAATTCAAATTTCAATTGGCATTCGAAAATAATTATATGTATATCTATTCGATGCTATGGTAGAAGTTTTACAAAAAAATAAAGATATCTTCGCACTTTTCGTAAAAAATTAAAAAGGCATTTTTTCAAAAAGGCCATCTTTTTTGGCAATTTTTTTTTACAGATACATATATTTTGGAATATTTGCCATTTAGATTGTTTTTGTCTTTAAGAGATTTAAAAGAAATTAATGCGAGACTTGTAAATTTTTGGGTTAAAAACCATCGATAAAATGATCGACATCGAGTCGATTTCAAATTTTGGAATTGCAGAACATGCCTGTATATTTATGCAATTGAAATTGCAAAATATGTGGTTTCCGTTTACGCATGGTATTCTGGGTTTTGGTATAACATACATAGCACATCCAAAGGTTAATCAAGTCAACCCAATAACTCAAATCGGACAAATTTGCACAAAGAAATCACAATAATGCACGGTACTGTGATAAGTAGTTTAAGATTGTTGTACTGAGCTATGGAAGCTTAGGCAACTAAAAACTGCGACGGAGCTACTTAGTTGTGCGGGAACAAATCCATCTGGCCTCGTAACTCAAAGAAATCTTCTGCCACGTAACAGGTATCTGTGTTCAGCATGGAGTCCGAAGGAGGATCGATGGTGTTTTCGGCTGCCTGAGAACTTCATCACTTTGTTCACATAACGGTTGTTAGTAACCGCCAAAACGAATCGAGATAGATATAGACAAATGTATACATAAATGCTCAGAATTAATAGAGAAGTCGATTAAGCCATGTCTGTCTGTCTGTCCGTCCGTCTGTCCGTGTACATCGTGTAGCGTGAGATATCTCTACTGAAAATGGGTGAAATCGGACTGTAACCACGCCCACTTCACATAAAACGGTATTTTCAAAAAATACGAACTACGAAATTTCAGTAAATGTTGGATCCAAACTGTTGAAAATTAGTATGCGAAGCAAAATTTTTTTTTAAATGTTTGGAGAATGGGTGTGACCCCGCCCACTTATGATGAAATGATGTATCTCAGTAGCCTTCACTAATCCTTCCCAAACTCGATACGAACCTTGCCTAGGGCCTAGCCAAGAAATCTGTTGAAATCGGGCATTAACCACGCCCACGTCCCATATAACGATAATTTACAGAAACACGAAAATCGATAATTACAATAACCACTTGGCACAAAATTAGATTATTATACTTTTTGGAATAATGGGCGTGGCGCCTCCCCCTTATGACCACAAATGTTTATCTCGGTAACTGATTCATCAATCTCTACCAAACTCGGTTCACTTAATAACCTTAGTGCAAGGAAGAAATTCGCTGAAAATTATTCAAATCGGACTAAAATTGCACCCACCTCCTGTATAACGGTAAATTTCACACATTCGAAAACTCCTTTATTTCAATAACTGAGGACGCTTATTTACTCCAAGTTAATAGTTACAACAATCTCTTAACAATAAATAAGACTGCTATAGACGTTTAGAAATTGGGCGTGGCACCGCCCACTTTATGACTGCAAGGTGTATCTCGGTAACTAGGCATGGGTAACACTGCGCTGCTCCGCCCAATTGTGCTAACACCGTAGCCGGAGTTGCCGCGCCAACACCAATATATGAAAAGCACTAGTGCCATTAACACCAAGAAACACATGACCCACACACAATTAGCCTTAATTTTTTGAAAAATTACACGTATTTTTAACCGACTTCCAAAAAAGGGGGGGTTATCAGTTCGTCGGAATATTTTTTTTTATGTATGTTACCGCATAACTTTGGACTAGAGTCTGACCGATTAATCGGCATCGGCATCGGCTAGTATCGGCACAAAATTGAGCATCGGCATCGACATCGGCCCTTTTTCGCCGATTCATTGGAATTTCTTTTCAAATGTTCAGGTGAAGAGACAGTCCACATTAAAAAACATTTGCAGATAGCTCACGAAAATGATTTTTTTTTTTTGTTGAAGGTGTTTCACGTTTTTTCCATACAAAAGTATGTGCGACAATTTTCTTTTATATGGAGAACACTGCCAGCAAAAAAAATTGCCAAAAATTAAGGGGATTTTATAGCAGCTTGAAACTTGCACTTCATTATAATAGAATGAAATGGTCTACAAAACTGCATACCAAAATTCTGATTAAAGAGTTTGAAATTTTGGTGAAAATAAGCAGATTTTTTCTCATTTTTTTATAAAAAAAAAATAATAAACATTAAATAAAAGAGACAAAATCGGTCAATTCTATCGCAAATCTTTTATTTTGTGGACCACTATATGTATGTACATACATACCTAGCATATAAGTTCTTATGCATTGAGTGCAAAAGAGTGTATTTTAGTACAAATCGAAATGAAATTGTATGTTCCTAAATATCTTTTGCTTAGCACCATATAAAAAAGTGTTTATGTAATGTACATAAATGTGATATATGTACATATCTTTTTACACATCATATGTATGTATGTACATACATGTGTATGTAATGTTGCATAACAAGCCAATTAATTCAATTAATTCTTTTCTTTTGTTTTTTTAACTCCGTGAAATGAACTGATTTTATGAACTAATACATTTATTTGTAATTTTTTATGGAATCGGCATCGGCCGATTCTTTCCCCATAAGCCGATTAATCGGCATCGGCATCGGTACCTGAAAAAAAATTGGAATCGGTCGGACTCTACTTTGGACCACGTCAACCCACTTCGAAAATTTTTTTTGCATCGGGAAGGTAGTGTCTCAGAGGTGGTCCCATACTAATCTTGTTTAGATCCGATCATTGGATCATGAAATATATATAGATATATATATATATATATATATATATATATATACATATTCTTTTTTAAGTCGGTTTTTTTTGCTAAAAATTACTTAACGCCTGAAACTTGTATCTTGGCAATTTTAAAGCTTTTACTCAAAAATGATGAGAATATCGTGGCAATAACTAATATTCCTAGCAATTAAATTCGATTATCGGTACAAGTGTTGCTCAGCGCAGACAGTTATAGTAATAATAGACATGACACCACTGTATGGTGTATTACACTGTATGACGATGGGTACTGTGGTGACACTCAGACGGCGCCGTATTCAAATCAGTACATTGCGATTTTACGCTGAGTTAGTGCGCTGACACCACAGGTGGCGCCGGCGTTATTGAGCTAGCGCCAGAAAAATTGCGCTGTTACCCAAGGCTATCGGTAACCCCTTTATAGATTTCTACCAAACTTGGTTCGATTATTTCATTGACTCTAATTCAGCATATTATCGAAAAAGTTCGAAATCGGGAAAACCCCCTGTTTATCATGCAATTGTAGTTTAGAGAAAGTTGAAACGACGATATTTGATACCTGCGCCGGGTATATAAACTTCGGTTTCGCCCGAACTTATGCGTCTTTACTTGTTTTCATCTAGTTTTTAATATGTAACATTTATTAACAGGAAGAAGATACACTATGTCCTTCTTTCTCTGCACTTTGCAGTAAAAAAATTTATAAAAATAAATATAATCTTAAACGAAGCTACTTACAGCCAATTTCACGAGAGCAATTTAAGTGAAAAATTATTAAGATTTTTTGAATTTGATATGGAAATTGACAGAAAATAAGAAATTATTTCCATTTAAAATGCCGGTGAAGCCGGCTGTAAGAAATTTAACTGTTTTTTAATTCAAAACAAGTAAGAAAGTCTAAGTTCGGGCGGAGCCGAACATTAAATACCCGGCGCAAGTATTAATAATATGTTTTCCACCTTTCCGAAAGCTACCGCTACATGATAAGCCGGGGTGTATACATTTTAAGTAAATTAGCGTCCTTAAATTTCAAAATATTGAAATTTCAAGCATTTCTGAAATTTACCGTTATATGAAAAGCGGCCTCAATTTTAGTCCGATTTCAACAATTTTCAACGGTTTGCTTTTATGTGGCAAGCACAATAACCATACCGAGCTTGGTACAAATTGCTAGAACGGTTAGCGAGATACATATAT